AGAGTTTGTCCCGTGTAAACTACGCGGGGCCGAATGCTGCACAGTCTTTTTTATGCATGTTTGAGGAGATTTAAGGATAATATTCCGCCAATGTGCTTCAGTTTTCCTACATCAGCACGAAATGTCTGGCTGCGAATTGGTGTGATAGCTAGGGTGTGGACGAAAATTTATAAAAACCTTTTTTTTACTTAATTAAACGGTTTTTTTGTTTGAGGTGATCGAAGGGACAGTTTGTAGCAAAAGCATTCGCCACGACTCAATGCCAAGCGAAATTCACAATGCCTCGATCTTGGCATTGGAGGGAAGCATCGAATACGAACGTGTCAGTGATAAACTCTCATCTATTGAACCGATTATCACACAGGTAAAAGATACTGAGAAGTTATCACGATTTTTTATAACTGTAAATGATATTTTGGAGTCCATGAATAAATTAAGCGACCATCTGGGCCGTCTCTGGAAAAGCGAAATAAACACTAACTTAGGATGTGTTTTTGTGTTAAGTATTAGCGCAACTGCGCTGAGGTTGTTAAAAAATCACGGTAACATGATTAAAATGTGGATCCTCAAAGCGATTGTCCAGGCGGTCTTGATATTCTTGGTAAAAGGCATTTTGTGGCATTTGCTTGAATGCTTTGAACATTCATCGTCGCGTTTTTTCTCATCGTCGATGCGCATCTTGCAACTTCTTCCTCTCATTTTGTTCCAATTTTTTGAACGCGTTTATTGTTGTGAAACTTTCTTACGCATTGCTAGTCGTCCGAGTATGAACAGCATTCAACGGTCTGCTTTGTTCCTGTCTTTCCTGTTGTTTACGCTTAGAAATGGCTTTCGATTATTGTGTTAGCTGTGTTGTAGGAAAGTGAATACTTGCGAAATCAGGTGGATCGAATGCTTTCGCACCGCCCATCACTGGTACTTGTTGAGCGTAATGTAGCTGGCTTGGCTGTGCAGATGCTATTGGAAGCGGGTATCACTCTTGTTTCAAACATCAAATCCCGTGTTTTACAACGTATTGCAAGAAGCACAGGAGCCGATGTGATGCCGTCGCTTGATGCTCAGATTCTGAACCAAAAAATTGGATTTTGTTCCTTTTTCCACCAGGAAAAAATACAACTTTTGAACGGAAAAAGCAAGTGTTTGTTGGTAAGTACTATTCGGAGGGCACTCATTTTTTTCAGCTTGGTGCTGAAATGTTAGGCAAACTGTTTTTGTATTGTAAGTTAAGGAGTGGAACAACCAGTCTGTGTACAAAGTCGCTTATTCCTGAGAAATAAGCTTAAGACTGCATGGTAAATCAATACTTTCTCGTTTTGCAGATATTTGACGATTGCCCTCCGGAATTAGGTTGTTCGATAGTGTTGCGGGGCAGTTCAAGAAACGATCTTTGTGCCGCTAAACGTATCCTGAAATATGCAATTCTGGCTTTGTATTCGAATCATTTGGAAGTGGAACTTTTGTCTCTTTCAAGAACCAGATTAACAGCTCGATCGAGCGAATGCACTGTATGCACTATGAACGCTGTCATGCCAGATTCGCGTCAGGTGAGTTATTGCACCATCATATGCATAGGCAGTACACCCTGTTTTCCCAAAAGCTCAGCGGGTTTAGTTTCCTTTTGAGCAATAAAAATAAAATTTTGCTTGAATCCCTTTCATCACTGCATGTCTTGGTCGTTTTGAAAAGACGAAATATTTTTGTCTGATGATCTCTTTTCTGCACTTCATGAATGTTTCAGGATAGCTTTTATAATCGTCTAATAAAGTGCGCACTGTCACCATCGCCA